TTGGATATACTTCTCTTCTCAAAAGGAAAAATCCAGAACAAATGATACACACATTTACTTATGAAAAACACTTACCTTTTCTAGAATAAAGATGTTAAGATTAAAAGGAATTGATATTAGAATCAGCTAGCCTCCTCTATATATTGTAGTCATTTATGTACAACATTAATTCAGAGACAGAAATCAATCTGACCTCAATAAATCAGTAGTCATAGTAAGGAACTACTTTTTGGATATAAATCTAAATAAAAAATGATTGTGAAGTTATTCATTTCATGCTTTGGAAATTTTAACTAAATGTTAGCACTTTCAGCCCAGACATCAAGATTCATCTGATGTGAATCTAAAAATCAGGCTTCCTACATAAAATATTAAACGACAATTTGAGTAACTGATTTCATGACTTTTAGATCCTTCAGCTAGCCTAAGGAGTAAAAGGAGACATATTAGCTTCCTGAGGTTGCTGTTAAAAACTACCAAATGCTGTTTTGTCTTGAAATGATAGAAATGTATTGTTGCAAGTTTTGGGAGAGGAGCCTGAAATCCAGGTGTCAGAAGTGCCACAGTGCTCTGATTTCTAGTGGAGAATCATCCCTGGCCTTGTCCAACTTCTGCTGTTTGCTAGTAATCCTTGGTGTTCCATGGCTTGTGAATGACTTCCAGTCTTCTTCTGTCACTTCTTGGCTGGCTTTTCCCCATGTGTCTCTGTTTTGTTCTTATAAAGATTCCGCTGGACTCCGATATGACTGTGTCGTGATGACTGATTGCATGTGCGATAAACCTATTTCCAAAAAAAAAAAAAAAAAAAACCTTTCACATCTGAGGTACAAGACAAGATGTCATCTTGGTTACACAATTTAACCGTAGTAGGTGGCATCAGAAAATGGAGACTGTAGAATTTTCCCTGGAGAGGTTAGTTGTCCTCTTTCTAGAGAGGAGGAGCTCGGATTCTGGCTTCAAATGAGATCCGAAGGCAGAGGCAATTTTGTGGGTGTGCAATCCATGCAGTCACATAGTGCCCTACCAGTGTGAAAGTTTTGATAATTTTTAAACAGTCTGACCTGTATTCCATTTGGCATTAGGCCATGTAAGTTAAGTAGGACACCACTTTGTGAGTTGCCATGAACTCCTTGCATTTGGCAAGAGTGGCAGGATGTGACCTGATTCACACCAGATAAAGCTGGCTTGTGACAACTGAAGTGAGGGGACTGCACTAGACTCCCTATGATCAGTGTGCCTCCCAAAGTTTGCAAAGTAATAAAAAAAAAGATACTCATATGATATGCATTGTCTTCCTTCTCTTCCTCCTCCTTAGCACTGCAACATTGCAGTGAGAGGCTCCAAAATGGAATTCTCTAAAAAGCTATAAACATCTCACAGCAGGAAGCTTTAAATACCTAGCCGTGCCAGAGACCAGGAAGATGTTATAAAGAAGCAGCTTGAGTTAGGCCTTTTCTGTAGCTTTACCACCATGGAAGAATAAAAACTGACTAGCTGTCTGGGGGAATTTGAGCATGAGCAAGAAAAATGGGAAAAAAGAAAGAAGCTTAAGGCAGTGAGATAAAGAGAAAGAAGATACCTTTTCCCAGTCCAGGCTGCCCAATTTAGAGAAGGCAAAAAATTTGATATTATATGACATTAGAGTTTTGATTGATAATACCAAACAGCACAGTCTAATCTCTGAATTGGAACCCAAGGACACCTAGACAAGTAAAAAAAAAAATCATGTACACTACAGTTTTCACTTAAGAGTAGGCAAAGATATGTTACCTCTTTCAAATTTCTCAGAGGGTTTATAGATTTTTTACGGAATGCATTTTGTAACCCCCAAAATTTACATATTGAATTCACAACCCCCCAATATCTGTATATGGGGAATATATGGGATATATATCTCCAAGTATATGACTGTACTTGGAGATATAGTCTTTAAAAAGATAATTAAGATCAAATATGGTTTTAAGATAGGCCCTAATCTAATATAACTTATGTTTTTCAGGAAGAAATTGGTACACAGACAGGCATAAAAACCATACAAAGACAGGGAGAAGCCCACCTACAAGACAAGAAAACAGCCCTCAGAAGAAACCTATTGACATCTGGACATTGAACTTCCAGCTCCAGAGCTGTTAGGAATAAATATCTGTTATTTAAGCCACTCAGTTTATGATACTTTGTTTTGGAAGCCCTAGCAAACTAATACACTGGGAGACAGTAAAAAATGAGTTGTTTTGGTGGACAAAGTAGCTTTGAAAGCATAATTATCAACAAGGTCCATAAAAAGAACATAGGATTCATTATCTCTTATAAAATAGCTGAAGTTAAATGAACTGAGTAAAAATGGCATTTTGTGGGATTTTTTTTGTAGCTAGACTGATAGGTTATGTACAGGTATAAACCTAAATAGCTGATAATTTTATGTGGTTAGACAACATGAATACCAAGTATAAAACAGAATTTTCAAAGCATTATAGACAATTAAATCTTTATAATTTATATAAAGAACTCTATTTATACATTGCAATACTAAAAGTTGGTATGTACTCATGGAAATATAAACGCAATTGCACAACAAAACAAAAAAGGGCAAATTTAATATAATATATATGAAGTATATCTCTCATGTTTTCCTGCACAGGTGTTTCATTCATGTCAACTTCCCTGCATTTCCTCTGTATAGTGGAAGGCTCAGGGGTCATCTTGCTCTGATTCTAGTCACATTAGCTTAATTCAAGTGATTGGACTGTGAACCAATAATCTCCAAAGTCAATTTGACACCAGAGCATTCAAAAACATGATAAATTCATAGTTTGTGTGACTCAATTCTGTTTTATTAAGGCAAGTATTGGTTACCAACAATAAATCAACTTGGGTTATAACTAGAAAAAGAATACTTCCCATTTCTTTTTTTGTAAAAATGTGCAATGAAACTTTACTAGTAGAGGTAGCTAATCTCAGGTTATCATCAACGTATGTGATAGTGAATTCTTTATAAGTACTGAGGTATGAAATATTTCATCTTCCCATGGCCAGGCATAAATGTTGTAACTTCAGCATCAGGAGAACAGACTGAGCAGATTACTGGGAATTTTGCATAACAACTGAACTCAGAAGAGATGAATCTAAAGAGTCACAATAAGTGAGATTTGCAAGTGTCAGGAAAGTCCATCATCAGATATTAGAAGTTCTTCCTCAAGTCTATGGGCAGGGTCCCCAGGTGGGCACAGGCAAGAGCAAACCCTTCTAGACTTCTATCCTACAGTTCTCAGGTAGTACCTCATTAAAGTAGGAATTCATACACCTCAGAAAAGTAGGAGATGATACTAAATACAAGCTACTGGATGCTTTCTGTGTACTAGGACCTCCCTATCTTGTGTGTATTGTTTTGCTATACCCAAAATGTGTTTCATGAGCCATCATCTACAGTAAGGGATATAAAATAAAAGCACAAAATGACAATTCTGGATGAAAAGATGGTAGACTTGAGGAATAAATAATTACAATCAACCTAATAATTTTCAGATCAAATCAAGGACAAGCATGCCATGAATTTTTTTTATTATTATAAAAGTAAAAAGTATCCTACAAATGATATAAAAAAGTTATTTCTATGAGGTACAAAACAAACCAATCCTGATTTTACATTAGTACTAGAAAATAATGAGGCATTATTCACAGATTCCTTTTTTTCAAGAAAAACTAACCGTGAGGCAAGTATATTAACAGTTAATTATTTTTTTCTAGTGCAAAAGCTGAAGAAAGATAATTTCCAGATACTTATAGAATCAGAAAACGTTTAACAAATATATAATTCTTGAAAGTAAATATGTTAAGAGCTCTACCAATTAAAAAAATGACTTTTCTCTAGTACTTTCAAAAGGTATAGTTTTCATTGTAAAAAACCTGAGAAAAACCCTTGCTCAGGCCATTATTATACTTGCTGTGAAAAACTAATACCAGAGGTGGGTGTTCTGGTGTCTTCCTTTACACTGTCAATTAAATAAAGGCAATTTCAGTGTGGAAGATACTCTTCAAATATTGAAATAATGTTGCAGTGGGCAAAATAAACTTTTGCAGAATTTTCCTTCAGTTTGAGTCAGTACGAGATTCACTTATTTAATTTAAAAACAGTGTAATTAGAAACCCTGTGTAGCATTATGAATTGGCAATCTCTGGTAGACTAATTTCTTCAGCCTGTAGACCAAGGTTTCAGAGTTTCAAGTTGTTTGTAGAGTTGACTTCCTCAGATTTTGTCTGACTGCTTTGGGAAACAAAAGTCCCTAAGATGACCTTTCTCATTGCACTCTTTCTGATATTACAAGGAAAAAAGAAAAACCCACTGAATGTTGAACCATGCTTATCATATATAAATAAAGAAGCACATTTTATAATATGTTCATAATAATTTTATATGTTCATAATAACCCTCACAGTCTTCAATAACCAATGGTATAAATAACGTATTCAGAGTCAGCACAAAATACTAAAAATTAGAGTTTCAATTTGAATTCTCAAGTAGAGTCCATGATCCACCTTGACAACTCCTGCATATGTTGAGAATAGCTAATGCAATCAAGCTTAGACAAAATCATATAAGAAAGATATGCATGTGAGCCTAGCATTAATGAGTTCTCTGGAGAAGATAATTCTACAGTCTTCAAAAACCTACTGACAATATTGTAAAATTTACAAGGTGTACTTATGCTTTTGAAATAAAGATTTAAACTCCCAAAAAAAAAACCCTTGACTCAGGAAGTGAGGAATTTATCACAAAATGCTGGAAACAGGGCCACCATTTATGGAGCTCAATGCAATTTATAAACTTAATTTTATATAACCTGTTGTCAGTTTTACAAGCCAAATAAGTGTTTAACAATTTCATTTGTTAAGCTGAGGCTTCACCAAAATCCTAAAAAAAGATGGCATTCCCCTAGATCTGCTATACTGTGACTTCTTGGTAAAGTAGGTATTATTTTATTAGCTGATTTTTGTATTTTCAGGTGTTTTCTTACACTGCTGACAAAGAAATCCGTACTGATGACTTATGCTTGGATGTATCCAGACTCAATGGACCTGTAACAATGTTAAAATGCCACCATATGAGAGGAAATCAGCTATGGCAATATGATGCTGAGGTACAGTATTTTCTGCAACTTACTCATTATTTAATGCTTAAATTCAGTTCCATACTTCAAAAACAATTAAATCTCAAGCTATTTTTCTGCACTGGCAGAATCATACCTAAAACACGTGAGCTTATATCTGATAATATTAGGTTGCATATGATATAACTAGATTTTTGCTAAACTGGACTACTAGTATAAAATATGAATTACTAGTATAAAATATGAATTCTGCCTAAAATTTGTAAAAGCAGAAATTAGACATGGAACAAACAATCTTTATCTGATGGGTAGCTATGCAGATATGCATATAGGCCAATATTGACAACTTATGTTTTCAAAATTTTAATTTCCTGCCATTGTAACCTCTGATATGTATACATCTCAAACTGAGATTAAAAAATTGATAAGCTTAATAAGATTTATTTGCTGTTGTAACAGGTGTCTCAAATAATTCTTTATACATAAATAATAAGTATAAGTAGTTATATTTATATTATATATTATAAATATAAACAGTAGTAAATATACTAATAAATATAAATAGTAAATATTTTATAGAAATTAATAAACTATTTAGGCATGTAATCAACTAAAAAACCTCTTGTCAATACAGAACACCTTTCTGAGGGAGAAGAGGGAAGAGAAAACAACAAAATTACTGATGGAAATTTATAGCCAGGCAGTGTGTAAAACTCCATTCAGCCATCAGATGGAGCTAATAAAAAAGAAATATTTTCCTCTAAAGGGAAGCAGCCCCAGACACAGCTCCCTCTCTTAAGCTTCTCTTTGCATAGCAAAATGAGTTGTTTAACATTGTCATGTTTCTAACATTATTAAATGGTCAGTGATGTATTTACAAGAAGAACTAAAATTTTTTTCTTACAAGATAAATGAAACAATAGAGATAAATGAGTCTTACAAATGCAGTGTTCCATACAAGCCTAACTATTCTGCAAGAGAAATATTTGAAAAATAAATTTTGTATTTTTCACATTTTAACAAGCCCTTCTTTTAAAAACTTCCTGAATGCCATTTCATTCACATGACTTTGTAGTTTCTTAGGTTGAATAGCACAATATAATGAATTCTTGTAGGTTCTGAAACTGGTTATATAGGGTTAATTTGGGGGCTAAAATTTATATAATGTTACCAGGCTTTTGAGATGAAAAATCTTTTTCTGGGAAAGAATTAAGGACAAACACCTTGAATCTTTCTAAGTTATACAAATGCGTTCTACTGACTTGAGTCTTCTCAATGTCTTGGTCGCCTTCTTTGGCCACCATTTTTTTTTTCTTCAACTGCTATCTATTATCACCATCCTTTATATTAAGCCTATAGGAGACCGTTCTTCTATTAAATACAGCTATGAAAATCTAGACCCCTAATCACCACTGTACCTTTTCTGTGAGGAAAAGGACAGGTAGGTGTACAAAGTAGAAATCCTGCAAGTAGCACTTTTCAATCTATTATACAAAAATATTACATTTTGTGCATGCATATGATGTATTTTAACCTTAGTCATCTCATTACCATCCTTTGATTCCAGTATTTTTAAGAATAACTCTTTGTTCTTGCAACTTAGTTTCTTCCAAGAACCCTGTACTTTATTGGGATTGTGCCCAAAGGAAGACAATGTAGCGTACATTTTTTCAGAAAGAGGAATGATTTTGCATTTTATAAGATGAAGCAGTGTCGAATTTCAAATAACACTTTAAACTTTTCTATAACTTCTGATGGCTCCTATAGTCATAGTTCAAATTCCTTCATTTATGAAATCACTACTGTTGCTAATTAAGCATGTAGTTTTGTTTATATTTTCTGCCAGTCAGTACTATGGTTATTGAATACTAAAAAAAAAAAAAAAAGAAGAGTGGAAAAAAACATAGCTTCACTTAAGTAAATTCATTCTTTCAGATGATTAGTAATTATCTGTTACAATATTTCTATGCACCATAATATTTTAGCCATGTTAATTTCACTTTTGGAATGCTCAAAAGAACTTATGCCCTAAATATTGGGAAATTTTATTTAAAATAAATAATCTGACCATATTAATAATTATGCACTATCATTTACTCTACTCTCATGTGTTTATATGTTCAATATTAAATTATCATCTTCAATTTATCTGATGACATCACTTTGCCAAAATTCAGAATGTGTAAATCATAATGTACAGAAATAATGCACTGCCTTTCTGAAAATTTTATTTCAAAAGTTTTTGGAGGTACTGGAGCTGGGAACTCAGGGCTTCAGCTGGCCAGGCAAGGGCTCTGTCACTTGAGCCACACTCTCAGCAGCCCTTTTTGCTTAGTTATTGTTCAGATGAGGTTTCATACTTTTTGCCAAGGCTGGCCTCAGACTGGGATCCTTCTATCTCTACCTCCCAAATAGCTGAGATTATGGTATGAGCCACCATGCCTGGCTTCATCCTTGAAATTTGGTTGTGTCTGTGAGGTCGTTAAAAAATAAATAATTTTTTATGGAATTCAAATATAATATTGTCTTTTTCATTATTTCTGTTACTTTTAAGTTTTACCTTTAAGGTTCTTTTTCTTTGCCAAATATTCCAGTACTTGGTATTGAAAGGGCGATTCTAGGATTAGTAGCATCATCTAGGACATGTGAGAAAAGTAGAATCTGAGACACTTCTCAGTTCACTAAATTCAAGGCCTTGTGTTTTTTTTTTTTAATAAAATTCTCCAAGTCATTTTAAATAAAAATCTCCACTGTATAAAGTTTGGTTTATACAGTGGCCAAACCTCTACATATCTTCCATGTTCTTTTTATGCACCATTGAAAAATATTGCAAACTTAGGAAAAGACATAAATATACTTTAGAATATGCAAGGCTTCTGTGGGTTCTGAGGGAGGGTAAGGGAGCAAAAGGATAAGAGGTGCTGATGTCAGAGAGAGGACATTGCTCAGTAGCTCTGTTCTTTTCATATTCTAGCCAAGGAAAATAGCCAATGCTGCTTACTACTTTTTAATTCAATTCTTTATCATTTGCTAACAAGGGCAGAATTATTCTTTGAGAAACCTGTGAGGTGACGAGCTTCAAAGCAGAAAAAACGCTGGTGAAGTTCAGAGAATTACAGAGTTAAAGCACACCTTAAACTTCTCTTCATCAGGAGAAAGCTAAAGCACAAAGATTACCCTGATAGCAGCAGAGCTAGAATTCAGGTCCAAATAATGTTTTCAAAGAAATCTAGTTATCAATACAATTATGAATCTCACCATGTGAGTGAAATATTCCATCACCTTATTTCCCATAGTCCTTACAGTCTTAGAAAGAAATCTCATAAATTGTTAGAGAAAACTTATAAAATCCAGAGAAAAATGAAAGCAGTGTCATGAACATCAAAATCTGGAGTTTGTATTATGGTTATGGCTTAGCAGAGCAAGCAGAAATGAGAAGGGAATAAAATTAATTGAGGGCTATAATTTTGTCTAATTTCTTGGGCATTTCTTACAATATTCATGTAAGATAGATACTGTCATTCTCTATAATTTTCACATTAGTAAGCTGAATCATAGAGTAAATGTCTTATCTGAGTTTGCCCACCTAGGTTTCCTGCAATAAGTCCAGCAATTTTTCTAGTATTGTACATTGCCTCTCAAAGTTGTTGCAAAACTATAAATAATTAGATTCATTCACTGGTGATGATCTAATAAGCTAAATGTACAGTATTGCAAGCAAATAATTAAGTGCCAACAATTATTTGCAGACCAAGTTTTATTCACATAATAATTTCTTCTTTCCTTAATCATAGGAAATTGTTCTGCAATAAACATAGTCTGCTTAGATAAATAGGCAGTCATAAAACTATTTTCATTATGGTCTAATTACTTTCATTTTTTAGTTACACATAAACATAGTATAATTAATCTCTAACTGTTTCACCTTTAACTGAATGGAAATAACCACACGTTGGTAATAATATGTGTATATTTGGATAACTTTGATTTGAAATGTATAGTTCCTCATTTTTGTAAAGAAATGTTTTTAAAATAGCACATGTGCGAACTTAATTTTCTGTCACTTTATACTAATCTAACCTGTTTGATTTGGGAGCAACCTGAGCATCATGAGCAAAATTGCAAGGTATCTGCCTGGTCTATAATCTATTGAGAAAATTGCTCCCACACTTCAGTACCATGAATTGCCTATTGTCACAGAGTTAAAGAGGAAAAACTAAATTTCATCTTAGAAATCAATTTAAAATTATTTTCATAAAAGCCTGTTGTGCGTTCTGTTTTATTCAGGTTTTCTCACATGCCATTTAAACATCACAACTGCATTCCAATGTATTTGGAATTTAGATTTTTCTTGCAATATGTGCACTTAATCACATTTCTTTTTGAACATCCAGGCAGCTACATGCTGTTTGAAAATCTAATTTTAGATCAGAACACTTATGCTCAACAAACACTATGCAACAAAGAAAAAAAAGAGGCAAATATGATACTAAAAATAAGTGGCGTTTTTCATATGACTGAGCAAGTTGACTGAGAAGATACTTGTTCTGAATTCCATATCCATTTGTATTAAATGCGTCCCAGAGCCAAAATGCAAGGATTTTTTTCAGCAGGTAAATTATGTTGGATTGTTATTTGTTGAAATCACAGAAGCTTATATTTAGACCTTATGTAACCAGCCTCTTTTATTCACCTTTGTCAGAAAGCAGGTAAATGGGAATATAATTTCCAGGTAAGTGATCTGTAAGTGAAACCCACCCATCTCCCTGTGTAGAATCCCTAATAAAGCAATGGCTTAATTTACCTTTTGAAGGTGTGTACATTAGGCAGGTATTGCCTTTTTATAGTCCCACTGACCTGTAGCTTTCATTTCTCATTAGAATCAATTAGTGAATAGAAATTTCAATAGATTAGTGTAGCACTTGTAGTTCCTCTTTGTTGAATAGTTACACATGGTTTTTAGAATATATATATTTGACTGTATGGAATATATATATATATATTTGGCTATACAGCTTACATTATCAAGT